TTTTCTTGGATTAACCAGTGCATTTTACTGTCAAAGAATTCATATTTGGATTCTAGTTATTTCAGAAAAACTATAAAATTCAATGACAGTGATTTAATGAAATTTACTGTACACAGTTATCTCCTGGTCCAGATTCAACACTTTGCCACAGATTGGGGCCAGGTTCCGACTAAATCTTGTTGCCAGTCCAATGAAAAATCCAATTATTTTTCAGCCACCATTAATTCCCACTAATTTTTTCCAAGAAAGAAAAAGATCCTTTATGATGGTTGAAATTCTTTAAACAGGTCTTAGTTAATGGTGGTCCCAAGCATGCTTCTCATAGCCATTCTTCTGCTATTTCTAAATTGTTTTTACCACCAATAAATACCACGATGGACTCATCAGCGGCAATAGAAAATATTTCTAAGTCTATGTCTCTTAGTTTTATACTAATTTTACCCATACCTTCCAATCACCTTGTAATGGTCATTAGAAAAAGGCTGATAGCTTCAACCCAATCCTTTTGTTTAGGAAAAGGGCCTCTTTTTTTTTCATATAGGATGAGAGCAACTAGGTAGCTTTCCCTTACCGCTGATTTTTTTTTGTCAGTACTCCAGTCTTTAGACAGAAGTTTCTAAATTCAGTTTTATTGCATTTTCTGTACTTTGTGCCAATGTTTTGGCAGGCCATGTAGCACCGTAGCCCATGGGAAGTATTTGGGGCATCCCTAGTTTATTGCAAATCTGAGAAATTTCTCTAAATGTTAATCTCTAGTTTGAAACTTATGAGAGCTGGGTGGCATTCAGACTTCCTAACAACAAAATGGCCAAGCGTATATGGAAGATTTCTGTTGAGCATCATGCTTTTCTTAGGTGAGTTAAATTTATTAATTAAAATATAAATTTGAGGTTCAAACTTAGTTCAGTTTGATTGATAATCAATAATATGGCATATTCATATTCACTTCAGTGAAAAACTTTTTTTTTAAAATTTCATAAGGGATCATTTTTTATTACAAACAGTAGTAGTTGTAGTAGCCTCAAGACTTTAAACTCATTCAATTGAGATCTTATATCATACATGAAGCTGAAATGTAAACTGTATGTATATAGTTTCCAAATTCATCAAATCCCTTTTAAAAAGCTTATTATAAGGTAGTCAATCAGAAAGATTTTGAATTAATATAATATTTGTTTCCTTTGATTGAATACATACTCTTAAAATCTTAACTTCCAAAGAAAGGTGATGGATTTATTGCCCCTAAATAGACTAATCTCATTTGCATCATATATGGCCATTTATGTTTGTCACACCTGGATCTAAGCCATGTAAATTACTGCATTCTTATAAAATAGTTGAAGACTTTCCTTGACCACTTCTAATAGATAATAACAATTATTAGCATTTTTTAAAACTTGTTTTCAACAGACTCCGGTCTGCTGATGATGCTAAAAAAAGAACTGGCTTTCCAAGATTTGGTTCCAAATATCGTTACTCTGGGCGCACACTTTATCAAACTCGACTAAATGCATCAATGGCTGACAGACCCTCCAAACAGTTTGAGAGAACACACAGCCGACAGTCATTGAATTCAGTTCTCAACAACAACAGATCAAGAAGTCTAGACAACTGTGAGTTAGTTGGCATTAATTTTGTTGTTTTTTTTGTTGGGTTTATTTTATTTTTTTCAATAACTACTTTACTTATTACGATTTTCTGTATTTTTTCATTACAGTGAATCACAGACGAGAACCATTTTTGGAGCAGCGCACAATGGAGATTCAAAACTTATCTTTTGATACTCTGAGAGAAGAGAGAATGGAAATTAGGAATCGTACAGTGCTGTCCAGGGTCAATGAAGATTCTTTCCATGAGGACAGTAGAAATGCTTCTTTTATAGAAGAGGACAGGACGCCACTTCAATCTCCTCTACCTCGAGAAGAATCTCCCAAATTGATTACTCGGCAAGTTATTAGACAGCCAGGTACATTTTATAATTCATTTACATTATTATTATTATTATTGTTGCTGTTAGATGTAGGCCAATTAGTACTTTTTTTTTAAAGTAATAGCACATTTTAGTTTTCAAAACAATTCAAATTCCTTTCAAAGAGATGAGAAAATTTTAAAATTGATTTATGTAAAGTGCTGTTACCATTCTACTTGGTACTAGAAACTGATCCATTGTTTCTTAGGGAATCCTGATATGTCTTCTTATTTGAAAAAAACAACAACACATAAACATATTAAGAAAAAAAAATTTTAAGAACCATTCAATTAAAATATTAAATATATTAAATTTCCCAAAATTTTGCTTATGATATAAATCTACTGTGCCCACTTCCTAATAGAGTATAAACTATTTGCTAAACAGTTCCAGAAGAAGACTCTGATCTGGATGACAGACTTCCTGCTCCACCAAAAGAATCACCAGAAGTGCGCAGGATACTACCTAAAAAGAATGTATCAAATAATGCACACCTAGGTGGTGTACCAACACCGATAGCTCTAGCAGTGCAAACTAAAAGGCAAAAGTCTGAAAGTGAATCAGATAGGTCTTCTAGAGACAGTCGAAGATCTTCTAGAGACAGTGCTAGCTCACAAGGTAGTTTTGATGCACGAAGAGCTGTACAGGAAGTAATTCCTCCTCCTAAATTGAAGCTTGAAGTTGCTGCCAAGCCTGGTAAAGAGAAACCTCCAGTAGCAAAGGTAAATGTTTAATATTTAATACAAATATATTTTCAGACATAACATTTACATAACTTTGTGGGTTTAGAAACAGTTCATAAATGTGGACTGTTTTAAAATTAGTTGGAAACTATTCCTGTATAGAGGCAATTTGTTCAAGTTATCATTATATTGTAGAATGTTTTGTGTTTTAAAAAAATAAAAAAAAACTATAAAATAATGTATTCAGATAGATTAATCTTAATTAAATTGATATAAAAGCTAGACCATGATAAGACATTAAATTGAAAAGGATTATTTCCCTACATTTAAAATCCTGTAGATCAGTCCCATGTAGTGCTGCCACAATGACATGCTTTAATAACATTGAGACTTGTAAATGTTTAAAATATAAAAATAATAATGATAATGTCTTTGAATGCAGTGTTTCACATGACTAAGCAATCCTAGCTGTGACCTGCATATTTTTCCACATCTTTTGCAGACAAAGCTTTGCTTGCCTGGGGTCTATTTAAGTTTTCTTTAGTCTTCTGTGCCTGACTTCTACAATAGCTTTTCTTTGAGCCTTAAATGTGTGTCTCACAGCCTTTGTGAGAACTCTCCAATTGTCTCTTTCAGCTACTTTCCTTTAAACCAGAGAAGCTAAAATGGCACCTGAGTTTATAGCACTTTCCTTGGGCTGCGGGGGACACACTTCTTTTACACCATCCACTTAAGCTCACCAAAGGTCACCTTTGGCAAGTGGTCATCCCTCATGCAGGATAAGTGACCTTGCGCAGCTTTTGAATGGTAAGTAGTCTTGCCAGCATGTGCCCATTACATGGCAAATGCACCTTTGATGGTAGCATTTGAGGAGCAAGGAGAAGGCAGGTCTCAGAGCCATGCAAAAGTGTAGTGAGAATAACTGCTTAAAAACATTGATTTTTGCTGTTAGAGAGACATACGTCATTCTCTCAATGGGAGGTGACCAAGAGCACTGTTGGCCTTAGCAAGATGGTTGTCTATTTCTCTAGACAGTTGGGCATTGTTAGACACTAAACTGTCCACACAAATGCAGTTTATTCTAAATGTTTCATTTTATATAAATGTTTGTTTTCTTAATTCTGAGGATCTCATTTAGTATTTATAATGAGTCTCTACTGAATATTTTAGAAACCTGAGAAACCACCAGTAGCACCTAAACCCGGCAAGAAAGAAAAGGATGATGACTCTGGTAAAGAAAATGATAGCAAGAAAGCTTTAGATAAAGAGAGTAAAAAGGACAAGAAAGAAAAAGTCACCAGAAAAGATAGCAAAAAAGAAAAGGAGAAAAAAGAAGACAAAAAAGACAGTAAAAAGGATTCAAAGAAAGAGAAGGATGCCAAAAAGGGGAAAGAGTCAACTACTTCAAAGAAAGGCAAGGAAGTTCGTGAAGTTTTTATGTAATATTTTATTTCACTTCAGGGGTATGCATTTTGTTTTTGATGTTCCAATGTGTATCAGGTTTTATTTCTTTTCTTTGTTTTAAAAACAAAACAGTGCATTTCGATCTGTGGTGATAGATCATTTCCTTACTTTTTATTTTAAATACACATTGTACACATTGCTCAGTGAGAATAAAGTCATTTTAAACAATATTGTTACTTTGACAGGTTGGGAAAAGAAAATGCAGAGATTTTCATTTGTATAGTCATTTATGGTAATTATGTTCATATGAAAATTTTAGGCAGCCATTATTTGCATGACAACAGAGATTACAATTTAAACTCCATATCATTATTATGTTTATATTGTTGTGTAATGATTGTCATAATTATTTGTTTAAATGAAAGTATGTTGTGCTGGCAAGTAGAAATAAACATTTTTACATTCATCCATTATTGCCTAACAGTGACATAAATATCCTGTGTATAAATTTACTTTCTGTTGCTTCATAAGATCTGACATTTCTTAACTCAAGAATCAATCAAGAGGATTCAATTTTTTTGTTCATGGGGTGGGGGACCTGCAGTTTAAGAGCTGCATATAAAACTTTTTCTACAGAGTGAGAGTTGAGAAGTGTAAATTACTTTTTGGCTTAAACATCTTTCTTATTGCTCCCTTAACTTTCGCACCTAGTTTAAGCTTAACATGGAATAAGATGTATATTGTGATATGCATCAAAGCTTTAGAGCACTTTATGTTCACTCCTATCTTTCGACTAGCAAAGGCAGTTTACAAAGAAAGACTTGTAACATTTTATATTTACTTTACAACTATTACATATATTTAGTCCCTCATACCATGTAAATACAAAGTGTAGGTTTGTTTACCTTTTGTACATTCCTTTTATGTTATACATTTTATAGTCTTGTTGTATTTTGTCAAAAGCAGTTATTTCCCGTTGTATTTTGTCAAAAGCAGTTATTTCCATACATTCCAGAACAAACTATTTACAAGCCCCTATTGTTTTTTATTCTAACAATTTTAATTGATGAAATTCTCTTAAGCTATGTATAGATTTTACCAGATAATTTTATTATAAAAGCACTTCAAAATGTATTTTTGTGTTCATAATGTAAATAAATTCATTAAAACTAGAAAATACAATTTGGGCGCATACCTATATTTTTTTTATTACTTGCAATTTTTATATAAAATGGAAATGCTGCTCAAGGGAGTGAACTCTATATGGAAATAACTTGAACAGGAAATTGTTTTTGTGTCTTGATTTTCAACTGTAGAAACTTTTTACTGGTAACCTAATATTAAAAACCTATTCTTCATATGATTTCTATTTAAATTGAATCTAGTATACTTGAATACATCGCACATTCTCCATGCCTGTATATGTATATATTACATTTCATCTTTTATGCAATAAATTGCAAAACGTCAATTTTATTTATCATACAACATTTTATTTCTCAGTGTATAATTGAATGTTCTGACATTGATATAATGTTGTTCTTATTTATTTTCAGTTCAACTATTATTAATAATGGCAATGCTAATAGAAAATAAAATTGATCTTGTTTTGATAGGTGAAACTTTTTTTTCCAATGGTGCTTAGGTTTTAAAACTGGGTACTAATTTATCAACAGTAAACAGTAATTTTCTGTACGGTGGTTTATTTCATAAATATGTTACTGAAAGACACAAATGTGGACGTATGAGGAAAACATTATTTGCATTATAATCATAAAAACAAAACATGTGGCTTTGCCACTTGTTTACCTCTTCCTCTCTAAAAGAATAATTTGGTGTGGAGAGAATTTTATGGCTGTTGAGTGTGAGCAAATTAGCTTAATTTTTTCAAAATGACATATCTAATGTAATGAAATAAACTTTCAATATATATATATGTACACATATACAGGATAATTCCAAGTTAATCCTTACATAGTTAAACTATTACATAAATGAAGGTATTTTAAACATTTTCACCCAAATAAAAAAAAAAGTTTTTTTATTTGAAAATGGTTCTACAAATTATGAACACAAAAAAAAGGTTGTGAATATGGGGACATGTCAAGCAATCAAATGAAAAACAAAAGCAAAAAAAAAAGTGAATATAAAAATTCTCTGCATTCAGTACCATTGGGCAACATTGTTTGCTTGTCATCAGTTTGTATGCAAAATAAATATTACAAGCTCAAATTACATTACATTAAAGTGAATGAAATAGCTCCAATTGTGTAATCAAGACATAGTAATTAACAAACTAACACAAAATATTTTTCACTTGAATAGTTCATGGATTCCTACACAGTCGGAATATTTTCTATTGCACACTGAAGCTCATCTTCTAAATCTGTGACCAAGGAAGAATACAGTAAAGAAATTGGTTGTGAAGTGGGTACGTGGTTACTATTATATTTGGTGTTAGACGAAGGCTCTGCAAAAAAACCTGAATCTCGTTTATATTGAGCTATTGAAAAAGACTGTGTATTATTACCAGCTGCACAGAAACAGGGCATGGATCTGCTGGAAAAATTTGGTGACGTGCATCTATCTACTGGGGACAGGGTAGAGTACATGCCTGGACTGGAATCAGAAACAGGTGATGAAGATGAGTTCACAAACGGGGATTTCATACTTACAAAGAAATCTACCGTGTCCTGGATAGATAAGTCGGTGATATCTTCAACGTAGCCTGACGATGGAGGAGAAGGCAGAGAGTTTTCACTATCCAAAAATGAAGCTTCTATTTTATTTATCTCATTCGCCATAGACAAGGGTGTGCTTGAGAACGGTTGTCGCCCATAGCTTGAAATATCACTGTAGTCGTAGTATGTCGGACTTGAACACTGGTAACGTTCTGGAGAACGATAAATCGACCCTGAGTTTCTTGTATAACCATAACTAGGTAAAGTATAAGGAGCGTATCTGTTTGAACTGGTTAAAGGCGATGACATCAAGACTGGCTGGTACCTTTGTGTTGAGGTAAATAGATAAGGGGACAGCATCTGTTGGGCTTGTGTCGAAAAGCCCATAGCCTCCATTCTCGATACAAGGCTAGCTCGACGTCTGCAGCTTTCACACGCGCAGCTTTGGGAGCCCATCATAATCATCTGAGGAGTACTCATAGACAGAGTTTTCTTTCTTTCGTAGCCTCCCGAACTACCACTTATGTTACTGCTAGTTAGAATAGGAGACGGAGAAATATTAGCTAAAATTCGCCTTGTTGGAAATGGATGATGGCGATGACGAGCTCTTTGGGATAAAGTTGTGTCTTCTCGTCTATAACCTTTCAAAGAGCTTGTTTGTGTTTCTGCAAGATTGATGGGTCTGGCTCCCACAAAACTGGTTGCGAGAACACCTTTGAAAGAAACGGATTCAGCTATGCTTACATTATGACTGCTTGGTGGCTCCATGGGAGTCCGGTGAAAATTGCTAGTGCTAATTATGTTAATGTTTTCTTTACTGTTATAGCAAGGTATTCGTTTGATCAAAGTTGTGCTGTTAGAATTTCCTGTCAAGACAACCGGATTAGGACTTTTGTTTATGTCTTTAGACTTCAAACTACCATTATTTTTTGCAATGTTCTTTTGTCTTTTTCTATCAGTATTGTCAGGAATTCGAAAACCTTCAATCGACCTGTTTATATCTGTACATAAGCAGGGGTCCTCTCGACAGTTCTTACATCGTAACACACATTTGCTGCTCGAGCAACCGGTGCCGTTTCTGTTTATATTTACTTGGTTGCATTTGAGTTCGCATTCTTTGGAAGAAGGAGCTATCACCACATGATTGTTTGTTGTGCAAGCGGGTGTTACCGAATTGGTTTTAATCAAAGTTGGCTTTCCGAACATCCCAACTCCCCATTGTTGCCGCATTTCCTCTGGTAGCAGAGAGCTCGGACTTACATTGTAGCCAAACCCTTTGCACTTACAATCTGATGGCTTTTTCCTAGAATTCTTTTTAATAGTATAGTCGGCGATGGGGTTCTCATCAGAAAAAACAGACGGTAAAAATGGATCCCCACGTTTCATTGCAATTGTTTTGATTGGTGTGGTTAGTCTTATCGACTTCCGCTCTTTATATTTTGCTTTGTTTTCGTTTTTCGGTTGATCGGCTGCACCAGAGAATAAAGAGGAAGGTGGGGTTTTCACGCCTGGCGATACGTCTATGTCCAGAACTTCATTAGGGTGGACAACTGTTGCTTTTAGATTGGATTCATCGTCATCAGTACAAAACATCGTTTGTTGAGCTCTAGGACCTGGAAAACAGATGAGCCCATTTTGCATTTGTATTTTATTTTAGGAAAATGAACATCAATAATATCAGCTAAACCATCTGAATTTTTGTTTTCAAAAGATTTTTTTTTAAATATGTAAAACTAATAGGTCTGTAGAGATATACTAAGCACCAAAATTAAGTGTGTGTTTTTTTAACCTTAAATTTTTTATGTGTAATTTTTGATTGACCTAATATACTCAGTGAAAAATCTTACTCATATCGATGTAGGCCTATGTATTTCAGTTAGGATGCTGTCACAGTCTATACTAGACCCTACTACGATATACGCACATTTATAAGGGTATATGTTGTTGTTTTGTTTTTTTCAGAAAGAAGAAACTTCAAAAGAAAAAAAAATAAACAAAGGAAATGTGCAATTGATGAAATATTTTGCTTTAGTTTGTATTCAATCCGAAATATAGTTAAAGAAATAAGAATGTTTTATGTAGCATTTTGCTAACATTTGATTTTTATTTAGCTTACTAGTTGTTTGTAAATGTTTGTAAAAACTTTGTAGATCTAGATGTTTTGGGTGTTTCTTCAGAGTTGAAGATAATCTACTTCCTAGCCCAAGCCTCCCGCAGAACGGGGATGGCAGCTAGCAGGGTATGAACCCGGGACAATCCAGCCGCCTAGCGCGCACATATATGTGTGTGTGTTAGTGTGTGCATTATAGTATGTCTGTATAGATTCTAGAAGTAGGCTACACAAGTATCATTGCATTAGCGAGTTCGCAGCAATGTGGTTTTATCAGTGACCCATGGGTCGATCTAATAACCGTCATTGCGGCGTAGCTCAATCGGCTTATATATTCTGAGTTTCATATTATTTCAGTACAACATTATACACATTGATTTGTCTGGGAGAAGTTACCTTAAAATAAAAGCCATCATTGTTTTTTTTTAAGTTCCATCAGCGATGCAAGAGAGCCTACACTCGTTACAGCGTCCTACTCATTTAAATGGAAAGAACCTGCATGAGCTTTCATTGGTGCGGCAATGTCGTGCTAAATTGTGCGCCACTCCAATAATGCACACTGAAACTATGCAAGAATAAATGTTAATTAAATGAGTATTTAATACTTACTTAGCAATAATTAAAATTTGTTTGCCTTAGAATTAGGCCTATTTTAAAATTACCTCTAAGCAACATTAGAAATGCACCCTATAAACCTTTACTTATTTACAACATATTTAGTGATTTTAAAAAAGACAAACACTATTGCAAATGATTTTCATTTCATCTTCACGTGTCAGTGTTTGATTTCAGTTTAAGGGCGTACACTTCCGCTTAACCCACGTGCTACAGAAAACAAAATAAAATTAATAAAAAAAAATTAACAATGTGATTTATTGCCTCATTTTAGACAATCTTTCGAACTGTTTACAATGACGTGCAAAAGCTCATCATTATTAGCATGATTATTAATTGCGTAATGTAGGCATCTTAAACCCTAACTGGAGCTCAGATAGTGAAATAATTCAATACCTTTAAATGCTTTCTACAAAGGCCTAGGGCATAGAAATTTCATTCTCGGGGAGCTTTTGCAAAGACAACAACAGACGACGAAAAGAGAACTTCAATAGAAACTCCAGGCGGACAATACTATGGGTTCGCGTAGCAACGTGAAATAGTGTATTTATCCTTAATCTTCGGAATCGAAGACAATGCCTTATATCAGGGGTGGGCGAATTACGATCTCACGGATTACAGGCGGCCCGCCGGAGTGTTTTATGCTGCCCGCGAATACCTACAGAAATTAAGTCATTGGTCAACATGCATGACTAGATGCATGCATCTTCTTTTTTGAAGTAACGTCTGTATTATATAAGATAAGATAAGTGTGCCAAGAAATTACGCAAATAAAAAATGCAAATACATTTTTTAAAAAGTAATTTTAAATATCTATAAAGATTATTGAAACGTCTCATTAGTATCACTTGTGATGAAGAAGCTAAAGAAATATTGTCTCTAAACGTCATTCTAAAACGTTTAAAGAAAATGTTAAGATTAATCTTATTGGTAATATTCCGAAACATTCAGTCAATACACAAACTCAGGCCTGCAATAAATAAATGTGTTAAAAGTGTTGACTTTGCTTGAAACAAGATGGCAAGTGTAACAACTGATGGATTGGGGGGGGGGGGGTCGAATTTAGTGACTTTTTTCTTGCTTGATTTTGTTTATTTTAGGTGCGATTTTAATACTAAACCATCACTTGTCCCAGCACAGCCAATGGGGGTTTGATTTTAAAAAACCCCTACCAGGGGGCTTTGCAGTTAAATCCTCTTCTATAAAACAATTTTTAAAAATGCAAACGACAATCTCCAAATTCCAAGAACACAGCTAAGGAAGATTTTGATTTTAAAATCCCCTCCAAAATTTACGATTAACCCCCTCTTCAATATCAAAAAGGCAAATTACAAACTCAAAATTCTATGAGCGTAGCCAAAGGGGTTTTGAGTTTAAACCCCCATTCAGCGGGGTTTAAATCTAAAAAAATTATCTCTTCAGTATAAAAAAAAAAGCAAATTACACACTAAAATTCTTTGAGCGTAGCCAAGTCAATGGGGGTTTTGAGTTTAACCCCCCCCCCCCCCCTCCTCCAGATGGCTTTTTTTTTAAAGTTTAAAACCCCTACAGATGGTTTTGAGTTTAAAATTCCCCCTACAGAGAGTTTTGAGGTTGAAAACCTCTCTCTTCAAAATTATTCTAAAGCAAACTGCAG